GCACAGTTTGTTTGAAAACTAATAATGATTCAACGTTAGTTCTTCAAAATGTCAAACATACTGCATACTTTCCTTTCAATTTGATCTCCGCAGGAAGGTCAGATGATGGAGATTACCATAATCCTCTTTAATGGACAATGGAAGCTCACCAAAGGCTCATTAGTAGTAGCTCGAGGAGTCAAGGCTTCACATTTATATATGACACGGGGATCTATTCTTAATGACTCCATTTACCTGGCGGAAAGTGACACTTTATCAGAATTGTGGCACAAAAGACTGAGTCCTATGAGCGAGAGGGGGATTACGTGTTTGGCTAAGAACGTTTTCTTCATGGAGTGAAATAAGCAAAGCTGAAAAGGTGTCTCCATTGTTTAGCTGTAAAATAGAAAATGATTTCCTTTCATAGCTATCATCCTTCAAGAAAACCCGAATTATTTGAGCTAGTATACTCTAATTTGTGTGGTCCTTTTAAAGTAAAGTCAAAAGATGGTACAATTTACTTTGTAACCTTCATTGATGATCATTCTCGCAAGCTCTGGGTGTATCCTTTGAAACCCAAAGATCAAGCACTTGGCGTGTTTAAGGAATTTCAGGCCTTAGTTGAGGAACAGACGTGGAAACGATTAAAATGCGTTCATACTGACAATAATGGTGAATATTGTGGTCCCTTTGATAATTATTGTAAAGAACAAGAAATTCGTCATTAGAAAACTCCACCCAAGATGCCTCAATTGAATGGTTTGGCAGAGAGGATGAATAGAATTCTAGTTGAGAGAGATAAATGCTTGCTTTCAGAGGCTAAATTTCCAAATACATTTTGGGCGGAAGCACTTAATACTGTTGCTTATGTTATCAATTTATCTCCTGTTATTGCTTTGGATGGTGATGTCCCAAACAGAATTTGGTTTGCCAAAGATGTTTCTTATGATTACTTGAGTGTTTGTGGGTGCAAAGCTTGTGTGCATGTTCTTATAGATGAGAGATCGAAATTGAATGTCAAAACTAAGCAATGCATCTTTTATCGGTATGGTCAAAATGAATATTGTTGGGTGTACGAACAAAGTCCCACATTAGTAACTGAAAAGATTGAGAGGCTACGTATAAGATGCATGGATCTCTTAATGATGTGAGGCCTTTTGGAAAAAACCGTACTAGCTTGGCCGAAAGCGGACAATATCACACCATGTTAAGAGTATCTGAGTTGGTTGAGCCCAACAACTGGTATCAGAGCCCAGGTTTGGCGGGACGAGTATGGAGATGGCAAAGTGATGGTGAGGGGTGGCATAGACACAAGAAGAAGCTAGTTGCGGGCTTCGGTGCCATAATGTGAATCTCCGAAATTGACCCGTGGATCGTGGTAATGGGCCACATAGAACTTAGTTCGACGGGGACCCGTAAATCGTGGTAGTGAGCGATGTGGAACTTTGTTCGAGGAGGATTATTAGGCGTGCGAACAAAGTCCCACATTGGTAGTAGAAAAGACTGGGAGCTTACATATAAGGTATAGAGATCTTTTAATGATGTGAGACCTTTTGGGAAAAACCGTGCAGGCTTGGGCTAAAGCGAAAATATTGCATCATGTTAAGAGTATCTTTGGATTGGTTGAGCCCAACACATACTTCTTAATAAAGTAATTTTAAATCTAATGCAGTCCAATCCACTAAAAAATCGCAACTCGGTGCATGGAGTATCTCACGTTCACGCAGAGTTCGGGGAATGTCGCACCCCAATGCAACCATCAGCGGCTGATGTCACGACTCGAACCCGTGACTTTAGGTCACACGAAGGTACCTTTACCGTTGCTCCAACGCTCCTTTCTTACCGTCAATCCACTGTTTATTACTAATTGACACCACGTGGGGGAATTTAAGGCGCGACCTCCATTTGGAATTGAAGTAAATTAGCTAGTAACTAGGTTTGGATCAAGTTACCTTACTATTGATGTTACTTCTAATTTGTCTGATTCCACCATTTAGGTTGAATTTGGCGATTGATTTCTCGAAACTTTTAAATTGCAGCAACTGTCTCTGGACCTTCTAGGAAATGTAGCAGTCGAACATTTTTGAAGAGTTACAACACTAGAAACCACGTCAGATTGCCTTTTATTTAATATCTGTTTGACCATTTTAGTAGTGAGATTTTCTTGAAAGCAGAAGCTTCGTAATTAATAATCATGTTTTGAAATTATAATCAGAAAGACAGATGGGTATCTTAGCAGATATGGTGCAAAAAAAACAACCAAATTAAATTTCAGAAGATCTCAGTATCTTGGATTTTTGCGCATATAATAAGTAAAAGATTAAAAGCAATATAATAGGCATGTTGTTTTTTGTAATCCACAATTTAAAGAATATAGCTAAAACAGCTCACTTATTCATGAACCCACAGCATGTTTGTCAGATTCATTTGAAAATTGATGATGCTTCATTTATTCCAACAAATTATATTTCTTTATTGGCAAACACTTTTTTAACTATCATTTGTGTACCGCATTGGAAGATGCCCATCCGAATCACTTCATATAAGAATGGACAGTAAGATAAAATAGAAGTTTCAGTTTTTATTTTACATTTTTTCTTTAAACAGATAACTAGGACCACTGTTTCCCCATTTCTGTTTCTGGCCTTACACTATTACACTTTGTACTCCATTCACTTTTATTTGGTCACAGTGAAATTTGTACCTTTTTTATAAAATACGTAATTAATGAAGTAATATTTACCATAAATAATAGCATTTCAAAACATTTTGGGAAATAATTTAGTATCACCCTGAAATGCTACTACTACATCTATATTTAGTGGTGAAATACACGCCTGACATATGTATTTTCTACTAAAATTATTTTTTTTCCTCATCTACTTCTTTTCCCAACTCACTTTTTTATAATTTTTAAAAATTCCCTTTTCGTACATCCCACCTTCTTCCATCCCCAACCCACAAGTGAAGTAGCCAAATTTTTTTTGGTTGAAGAAGCAGACCGAAAATGGTGAGCTCCTATAAAACTTTATGGCAACCAACAATCAACAACCACATTCTTCTTCCTTATTCTTTCTTTTACGTAATTTGATTAATTAAAAAAATAGGACTCAACCCTTCTTCTTGTTCAGTCTTTTGCGGGCTTCTTATGGGTTTAATCGAAAATTGATCTTGAGACAAGATTTTTTCAGTCCTTTTTGTGAGAAGCAATTGCAATTAAAAGTGTATAAGAGGTGAGAGAAGAGATTAAAAATAGCAGTAATCATTTATAAAGTGTAGTGAAATATGGAGAGAAAAGAATAAAATCTTCAATTCGATCTCACCGGAAAATATGGAGAATGCCGGAACTAATTTTCGGCCAAACTATAAGTAACAAAACTATAGGAAAGGAAAGGAAAAGAAAAAAAAAAAACAAGTGGAAAAAAATAGTATATTTTATAAAAATACTATAAAAATAAAATTTCAGCATTCTCTCTCTTTCTCACTCTCCCAAGGAGGGTGGCATACACTCTCTTCTGTCATAGTATACTAATTCCATTTAAAAATAGTTGAGGGGTAGTAGGATCTTCGCAAAAATAAAATATTTAATTAAAAATTCGGTTATAGGTCAGGAGGGTACTTATGCATTTTCCCTTATACTTACTTAGTAGGCAAATAATGGTTATATGGCAGGAATCATACATCAATAATGGAAATATACACACAAAAACAACAAGCCAAGGATCCCGGATTTAAATATTGTGGGTTCGACTTTTAAGATTTTTAGCATTGAACCCATTATGAGGGTGTTTGACTAAACTTATAAGTTGATCAAACTGGCTTATAAACAACTTTTCGCTTATCTAGGCGTTTGGTAAACACCCAAAGTGCTTATAAGTTAAAGTCAGTCATAAGTTGGTCACCCCAACTTATGACTTTTAACTTATAAACATTTTTAGTTTGACCAAGGTTTTTACTAATTTATCCTTAATAATATTTTTAAATTCACAAAATATTTTTTCCAAAATAAATTTCCTAACTTTCTCTTCATTCCATATTTGTTGTTTATCCTTTTCTTTACAAATAAACTTTTTAATTCATAATCTTTTGTAAAGATTTTAAAGATATTTTAGTCATTTTAATAAAAGAACATCTTATGAGCACTCTTCTACCAAACACATCAACTGGTTGTTATCAGTTTCATCACGTCTATCCAAACACGTAAATACTTATTTAAAAAATCAGTTTCTGCACTTCAAGCTTATCAGCTATTTACAATCAGCTAATCCAAACGGTATTTTTTTTATGTTATGAGTTCATATCGAAAGTTATAGGTTTAATTGAACCCATTGCTTACACACTACATCCACCTCTGTAGTCTAATATATTCCCACACGTGAAGTCCGAGAAGGCTAGTGCTTACACGGAGCTTCCTCTGCCTTGTGCGGGTAGAAAATATACACGCAAAAATATACAATATAGTTTTATGAGGTGGTTGGATCCACTGAACATTTGTTTTAAGTGTGTCAGGAGACCTCTAACTTTTCAAGCTTACAACTTTCTGTTTGTCTTAAAATATAGTACTAGTAGTTTTAATTTGCTCTTCATTCTGCCACCATCACTTCAAAGAGCTTTCCTTCAGTTCAAGTAAAGATCTTTACTTTTGGACACCCTTTGACATTTAGAGCTGTAGTAGTAGCAGATTTAATGTGCTATTTGTAGAAAAAGCTACGCTCGCCTTCCCTTTTACTGCCAAAAAGCTATATTGGGACTCTGCATGTTACAGATTTTAGCAAATAGCACAATAGTTATTTTAACTCACCGTCAAAAGGGCTGCTTTTTCTTGGCTATTTTTATGTATTAGCAAGCTCCGTAATGTTCAAACTTCAGCATCTGTTCATGTAAAGTTTTAAAGAGATGGTCAGTTAATTCTTGGAAGAGAATGTGCAAAAGGGCGTTAATCACTTGGAGCTATTGGCCTATTGCAATACAAGGGAACAACTCTAAACACAAGCGTTCTAAGAGGTAGCCATTGGATTTGTTCTACTTGTTATTGTATATATTTAATCTCTGTTTCTCTATCTTTTCATTTGGGGTTTCTCTAAGTTAAAAGAACTTTTAATTTGATGTGTTGCCTGTAGTAGATAATGGAGTACTCTTGTACAAATAACAGTCCCAAAATCAAATCTTTGTTACTACTATGTATTCGCTTTGCAAGCTGACATTGTTGTTATTTTCTTGGTTCCTTTTCATTATTTGAAAGGTTTTCTAACAAGTATGGAAAAGGGAATTAGAAGGGCTTATGTGAATATGTACTTGTCATTTCCTTATCATCTTAATTTCCTGCTGCTTTAGTTCTTTGAAGGAAGTTTGTTCACTGTAGGAGCCATTGTGCGCTCTGGAAAAGTTATTTAGTATGACATTCCATTCTATGATTTCCGGGTGATGTGTATAGTATTTGATTTCCACGGCTGCGGCTTCCCGTCTATATATATAGACGAGGATTTGATGACAATGTGGATCATTCAGTAGAGGCATCTAATCAATTGAAGTTGGTAAGGAAGCTTCCATGTGTCCTTCCTCTTCTGATATTTTAGCTTTCATACCAGAATGTGACTACAAAGTTACAAGTTAAAAATGGGTGGTAAAGGAAAGGAAGAGCGGGACTTCCTTTGTACCTTATCTTCCTTCTTTGCTTTCAAGTTGGTTTTTACATCACGTTAAACTGCTCAGTGTCAAAAGAACAAGGAACATGCCCCTAGAAATACCAAGAATTTTGAATAATTTAGGATATACTGTTTCTTTTCTCTAGGAAATGGTTCACACGAAAGACTGTACTGGGAGCAAGAAGAAACATTCATCTAAGGCTGAAGTCCAGAGTTCTTTGAGGCAAGAGGTAAGGAAACTGAGATTATAAAATTGTTTCTAGTGGTTTATCAACAGATTATTAATATCTATGTTAGTTGAAAATACGTCTCTACAGATAATGCAGCTCGAGAGAAGATTACAGAACCAAGGCGCAGTTCCATGTGCTCTAGAGAAAGCATTAGAATGTAAATCTTTCTCACAAAACATCACTCATCTCGCCTCAATGTCTATGGTACCTCCTTCTGCTCCTTCCTATCGTATCACATAATATAATATGACTCATAATTCTGATTACTTCCATTTTGAGAAAAATGTAATTGAGCATTTGACACCTCTCACATCTCTTTGTTAACATAGCTAAGTGTAAGGCTCATATACTCTATTGTCAATTTGCCATAGCTATGTTTATTACTGTTTCACTCATGGTTATTCTTGTCAAAGTGGAACTTTTCTTTATTTTCATGTTGTTTTTAATACCCTCTATAACGGTCATATGCTGAGAGTACTCTATTCAATTGAATCCAGCCAACAACAGAACTGATTAGAGAAATTGCTGTACTAGAGTTGGAAGTAGTGCATTTGGAACACTATCTTCTCTCATTATACCGTAAAGCATTTGATCAACAAATCTCATCCTTGTCTCCTCCCGTAAACGATGATAAACTAAGATCACCACAAAGTACCCAAATAAGAAGGTGCCTTGAATTTTCTGAATCTGATGTGATGGTGAGAAGGGAAAATTCTTATGCTCAATTTGATTGCCAATCAGTATCAAATCCATGGAATGAAACCAATAGCACGACACAAGACAAAGTTAAAGAACCTGGAGTTCATCGAAGCCATTCCTCATTAACTCAACATTCAGCTCCGTCAAATAGAGCTCCCCTATCAGAGGAAATACCAGGGAAAGCTTTGCGTGCTTGTCAGTCTCAACCTTTTTCTATGATGGAGGTAAGTTGCAAAAGAGATAAATTTGTATTGCAGTTTCTCCTTTTTGAGGGAAGGAGGCATTAATTATTATTTATCATCTACATATATATCATGTTAGTGTGCGATGGTTTTCCCTGTATAGAACAATGAAAGTTGGAGGACTGAGAGTTTCTATGTGATGAATTCTTTGCAGTATGCACAGAGTTCTTGTTCAAATTTAATCAGTTTGGCAGAGCATCTTGGCACGCGCATCTCTGACCATGTTCCAGAGGCACCAAATAAGCTGTCTGAGGACATGGTAAGGTGCATGTGCACCATATATTGCAAAATTGCTGATCCTCCACGAATAAATCCGTGTCTCTCGTCACCAACCTCATCCTTGTCCTCAATGAGTGCCTTTTCTCCAAAGGATCAATGTGACATATGGAGTCCAGGATTAAGGAACGATTCGTCTTTTAGTGTTCGGTTGGACAATCCTTTTCATGTGGAAGGCTTGAAGGAGTTCAGTGGACCTTATAGCACAATGGTTGAAGTACAATGTATATATAGAGATAAACACAGACTAGGTGATATTGAACCGTTGTTGCAAAATTTCAGGTGAGGACATCTGTCATGGGACGTACTTTAACAATTTCTTGTTTTAAAATGCTCACTGAGGATGTACATTTCAGGTCAATTGTTTCTCGCCTAGAAGTAATAGATCCGCAAAGGTTGAGTCATGCTGAGAAGCTTGCATTCTGGATTAACATACATAACGCGTTAGTGATGCATGTAATGATCCTTCTTGATTAAAACGTCAGCATTGTGGTTTTAGAAATCTGTAAATTCCACATCCACTTTGAGCTGACAATATTCTGTAACTATTTCTATCTAGGCATTTTTGTCATATGGGGTTCCACAAAAACATGGAAAGAGAGTTTTTCTACTCTTGAAGGTTAGTGCAAAAAACTTATTTTTTTGGTCAAGAGTTGTTTGGTAAGATTTTGTCTTACCTTTTTGCTTAATCCAGGCTGCCTATAATGTTGGCGGTCATGTATTCAGCGCCAATGTGATACAGAACTCTATCCTGGGATGTCGAATGTCTAGACCAGGACAGGTATACCTCATAAGCTGGTTTCTTGTTACATTATGCATTTTAGCTTAACTTGCATATTCAGCAACTACGTGCTCTACTACACAAAACCTCTAGAAGTAATTGTGTTGGTTCACAAACCAACTTTTTAAAAGATTCTCCTAAAAGCATCTAAGGATCTTTTTGTTTTTTCTTGTCAAAATCGTGTCCCTACTCTATTGATATCAAGTGACTGATACTCATGCATAGTATTTTCTGATCCACATGTGTATTGGGAGAAATTAAGTTCATGTATAGAATTAATTATGAGGTGACATGTCATGACACGTGGACTGGTAAAGGAATGACAGTTGGCGAAGAATAATTGAAGAGGTACGAGCTTTGGCAGGCAAGGGCAGAGATCCAAGAAAACAAGAAGGGATAGGTGCTCGGACCTCTTGGTATTCTGAAGACGCATCAGAAGAATAAACCTAAATAGCAAAAGGGGTATAGATACGTATCATTGGTGATTAATGGGCATTAATTACGGAAAACGTTATGGAATCTGTATTGAATCAGTTATACCAATTATAACGTTACATTAAATGCCATTAATTGTCCATAATGACTCCATTCTGAAAGGAGAAAAACGTATTACTTAGAAATAACTATAAAAGATGAGGACTGAACATTTCTAAGGACACGAAATACTATTGGAATATACTGATTTACTTTGCTTTCTATTCAGTAATTATTTACATCAATTGTTCCTATTTCTACTTGATTATGTTCTTCTAAAAATAAGCTTTGACCGAAATCCCTATTTTTGGTTAAACACCGTGTATGTCTCCATAATGGATTTCTCGAAGTTGGTACTTGTATAGCTGATAAAGCTTAATCTTGATGCAGTGGCTTCGCTTGTTGCTTTCTTCTAGAGGAAAGCTTAAGGTAGGCGATGAAATACAAGCCTATGCTATTGAACATCCAGAACCCCTTCTGCACTTTGCACTCTGCTCGGGCAATCATTCAGATCCTGCGGTATTGTCCATCATCTTCCTTTCTCCTTAATGTTTGCGATGATCATTATTTCTTATATCCAATAAAAACTGAATTTACGTGGCATTTTACAGACTGTAGTTTCTTTTTGAAAGGCTAGAAATTTACATCAGTTTCTATCCAATAACCGAATAGAATGTGCTGACATTCATCTATCTTCTGTACATGAAAAATAGTTCCTGTTGTCATGCATTTAGAATGTGCTGACATTCATCTATCTTCTGTTCATGAAAAATAGTTCCTGTTTTCATACAAATGCCCTTCTTCATCCTAGTGATTTTCACTAATTGAGCGCTCTCAAATCCTTGGAACACGAAGGTTTAAGTAAAATCAAGAATTATGTGATAATGGTAACAGGATTTAATGAACAATTGTATTGTCTCACGGTGAAAACGTCTCCATTGTCAGGTAAGAGTCTATACACCTAAGAGAGTGTTTCAGGAGCTGGAAGCAGCAAAAGAAGAATATATTAGAGCAGCATTTGGGGTGAAGAAGAATCATAAAGTTGTTTTGCCAAAAGTTGTGGAGTCCTTTGCTAAGGATTGTGGTCTATGTACTGCTGGTGTGATGGAGATGATCCAGCAATGTTTACCTGAATCTCTTATAAGAAGCATTAAGAAGATTCAGCAGGAAAATTCTCGCAAGAACATTGAGTGGATTCCTCATAATTTTGCTTTCCGATATCTAATTATGAAGGAGCTGGTGAAGTGACTACTTTTATTGTTTACTCTGTGATTATAGAGATTTGATTAATAGTAAGCCTCTTTGACCTCCAACCAGTAGGTCGTAGGTTCTTTGACCTCCAACCAGTAGGTCGTAGGTTCGAGTCTCACTAAGGGTAAGTGAAATTAGCTGTTTATCCCATGTGGAATCAGTGTGGGGAGAGGGGGGAAAAAGTTTGTTCTATAAGAACTCTCTTTATCTTTCTTTTTTTCTTTTATTAATAGGAGTTCTTTGAGAGGGGACTCATCTCCTTTTTCTCTTTTCTGTATAAATGCACACAAATTTAGGAGTTGAGACTGGAGATATGACTGGAGAAAACCTCCGCTCTCTGTTTTACATATTACCTAATGGGAGAGGATGGTCATTGAGAAAGATGCCTTAACATGTTGGTCATGACGAGAATTTGAGTTCTTATTATGCTGCCCCTCATACTCTTCTTTCTATGTTTTGTCACACCTCCTTTTTGCGCGCCCGCTTCCGAAGGGTAAGATGCGCGAGGGGAGTTTTTCCAATTTAAGTGACAATATTCGAAATGGGATTATTGTNTGGATCAACTGAAATCAATGGCTTGGATCTAAAGGCTTAGGGGAAACGATGTCGTTTCAACTAAAGGGGGTTTGGGTTGGTCCGGGTGGAATGGGTCGGGTTTTGTTCGTGGGTATGGGAAATGTGATCTTGGCCGTTGATCAATCTGAGATCAACGGCCCAGATCAGGCTGAATTAAAACGGCGTCGTTTGGATACCCTGGGTATCAACTCGGACTGGACCGGGCAGGCCTGGTTTGGGCATTGTTTGTTTGGGCCAATTTTAATAAATTGGCCCAATTCGGAAGAAGAAGATTTTTTATTATTATTATTATTTTTTTTCTTCTTTATTTTAAAAACAAAACTAAGCAAAAAATCAAATTAAAAATTAAATACACACTCAATACAATTATCTGCACACACACTAAAATATTTCAAAACAGGTAAAATCAAACAAAACAAAATTACGGACGAAGATGCCTATTTATGATTTTTTATTTAACGAACGGATTACGGTTCGAATTATGCATGACACGCACATTTTTTGTATTTTGTTTTAAACAATAAAGAAAAAAAAATAAAAATGGGCAAAAGTCACAAATAAATCAACAAAGTGCCGTACAGAAATCCAAAAATTGTACAGCAGGACCAAATTTTTTTTTTTTATTCTTTTGGAGCGATTGTCGCGCAAAACAAAAATCATGTGCTCACATGTTTGAGTCGCTCTTCTTATCTGTCGTACCCCTAATCCTCCTTCATATCGATCACCAGAGGCGAATAGAATATATAATCAATAGATTCAACTCATCCTAGATCCTGAACCTATAATTTCAAAAGTCGATTTAAATCCATCAAATTTAAATTTTGGATTCATCTTATTGATCTCTCTCCTGCACCTTAATTTCAAATTAGTCAGATCGGCTATATATTTACTAGCAGTATAGAAAAAGAAAAAGAGAAAGGAAAATACCAACAAACCAACACAATGACAACTTATTGTAAATGAAAGCAACAAAACTTGAATTCCACACAAAAGTTACATTATTAAAGATCATGTAATTGCAGACTAATAAGGTTTCTCTCCTATTACATTTCCAGGGGGATTATAAAAACATATGGTAAGAGTAGAAGGTCCGTTAGAACAAGTAGCTTGAGCACAACCCAATTCCAATGATTCCTTCCAAACAACCTGCGTATAAACACCACACTTATGATCTCCTACACATGAATTATTAGCATAGTTGTAAAATTTCTTCTCAGCAACCCAATTATCTACAGCCATACGTGGGGTCACGGCCATACCACTAGCCCATAATTGATTCCCACCATATTTCCCACTGGTTAAATTTGCAAAGTTGCAATTTTGTTTGTTCCTTTGGTAACGAACAAGAAGGCTAGTTTCTTTGGCTAGCATGGGACTCCATTTTAGAGGGCCAACACCCACTTCAGCTCTTGCCTTGTTATGTGCATCCAAGAATTCTTGGGCCGCGGCCGGTAGTGCAGCTGGAGTTGTGGCGGCTGTCGGTGGAGGAGGTGGTGGTGGTGAAATTGTCTGTCCTGAGATGTGAGTCAAGAATAAAGAAGAGGTTAGTAGGAGGAAGAAAAAGTTGGCCATTTTGTCTCAACTTTCAACTCTGTTTTGTTTTCTTTCTTTTATTCAGAGGTCAACTTGGAAGAGATGGTGAGTGGAGCTATTATATCTTCGTAAGTTCATATAGGGGAATGGTGCCAGCTCTATGTATCGGGGTGTGTACATGCTTGCTATTTTCAACGCAGAGTTTAGACTACAGTTGTATTGTGCACTTAAGGACGATTCGTAATAATCGTTTACAATCTAATTAGGTGTGGATTATGATGTGGATATGTGACACTTATATGATATGCAAAATTGTTATGTGATAAAAATAATCCAGAGATAATTAAGCGATAAATAATAGTACTCCGTATAGTAACATATTTGATGTTATGTAAGATTGACTAGTTTAAGGGGTTTTTTCTTTTGCTTTAGATACTTTTATCCGCATAAATGCATGTACTTTTTTGTTTTTTTTTTTTAAATATTTTATTCCGTATAAAATAATACTCGTTAGATTTACGTATAAGTTACACAGGTTAGTAACATATCATTCTATTTTCAGTGTTAAACATTGTCTGGTTTATGCAAATTTAATACCAAAAATCAAATGTTATATTAATTATATTAATTATACAGTGTTTATATTATTTATTTATGCATGACTTCATACCAAAAACAAAATGATGTATATGTAGAGGCGGACCCTGGAATTTGACTCAACGAGGGCATCAGTATTTTGCTTAATCAATACTCCCTAAAGATTTTTAGTGTTAAGGGTGCCAAATAATTTAAATTAACCATTTTCAAATTATGTATATATATATATATATATAAGAGTTTTACTAAAGTTTACGGGGTTCAGTAACCNGGAAGAGAAGGAATAAAATTAATTAAGTTGACTATTGTGTATTAGTACTAACTATAAATGAAATTAAAAAAAAGTAATTTGTTATTAAATATAAATTATATTGTATCCAAAGAACTAAAATATTAATAAAGTTGACTATTATATATTAGTACTAATTTATAATTGAATTCAAAAAAAAGAAGATAAAAGTAAAAGATAAAGCAATTTGCTATTGAATATAAATTACATTGTAACTCATAGAAGGAGGAGAAAAAAGCTGAAGGGGGGTTTCAAACATACGTCCCCAACAAAGTTGGGAATTTAAGGGTCCAAAGCAACCACTTCTCCCATACATCTCTTTATTTTAGGGGGCATACTTAAAATATTTAAGGGGTCTCATATATATTATATGTTTATACATGATTTTTGTCGAGGCTAACGGGATCACGTGACCCCTCAACCTACCACATAGGTCCGCCTCTGCCTTCAAGGTTACATATAGGTCCGCCTGTGTGTATAAGTAACATGAAATTTTATATAAGGATTGGACTTTATTATATGAAACTAAATGAACCCTTATTTAGAGGTATTTATGAGTTCATTTAAATCCAATATTTTCAATACAAAACATAAGTATAAATATGCAACAGGTCACCAAAGTTTAATAAATTTTGAATTCATAAATTTTAGAGCACAATGAATTTTCAATATTAAAAACCTTAAGATTTAACCCATGAAGATTGCTCATTAAAATCATAAATTGGATTCTATATGCTGTCACGATTGCTTTTGATATACTCATCTGTCTTTTTCCTCCATAATTGAAAAAAAAGGCAAATCCTGTGCATGTGGGGGGAGAATACTGAATAGAGGGGCTTCTGTTGGTTATTGGACTTACGCAAGATTAATGCACGTGAGTGACAACCCGCAGAGTGCTGACTATTTCTGGCCTGTGTGGACACTGAAGAAAAACATAGACGTGTGATATGACATGTTTTTTGTTACTATTAACTTAGCCATGTGGTTTGCTCTTATTAACGAATACTACCAAAGATGCTTCCCATTTAATGCAAAATACACTACTCCGTGAAGCGGCAGGTATTCGGCCCACCCTCTCATGATGCAGTAGAATGAAAGAAAGAAAAAATATAAAGTCCAAATTTAACTTTGGAGATTTTAAATTTATTAGTTGTAAATTCTAAAATATGACGAGCTATTAGGTCGGCAAATATGATTCACATATTGTAATGATCCGATAGATCATCTAGAGCTTTAACTCTTAATTTTGTGTTTCGAAACCTTAAATAACTCCTTTTTACCCTTCATCAATTTACGTGCGCAGTCTATATCTTATTCCGGAAGATTTTTATGTGAAAAATTGATTAAAATATGAATTCGTGCCTTAAAACTCATTTGAGTTGACTTCGATCAACGTTTTAAGTAAACGGACCCGGTTCCGTATTTTGACCATCCCGGTGGGTGCGTATCGTGATTTGGAACTTGGGCGTATGCCCGAAATCGAATTTGGAGGTCTCTAGCTTGACTTATTACAATTTGTTGAAAATTAAAAGTAAGAAGGTTTAAAGTAATTTCAAATTTGACCGAAGTTTGACTTTGTTCCTCCTTGGTTCGGATTTTGGTTCCGGAGCTTGGTATAAGTTCATTACCGTATTTATGACTTGTCTACAAAATTTGGTGCAAAACAGAGTTGAAATGATGTGATTCGGACATCCATTTGTTAAAATGAAAGTTCTTAAGTTTTATTGAAAAATTTCATTTGTTTTGGCGCCCGATTCATAGTTTTAGGTATTATTTTGGTGTTTTGATCACGCGAGCAAAATTCGTATAATATTTTCGGACTTGTGTGCATGTTTGGTTTTGAGCCCCGAGGGCACGGGTGAGTTTTGTGTAGGCTACGAATGGTTTGAACTTAGAAAATTTCTGGTTTTTGGAGAATCTGCTGTCACCTGGTGTTTTTTTTTTTTTGGCAATCCACTAGGCAAGTGCCTAGGGGTAGTTTTTTATTAATAACAGAAAAGAAAAATACATCAATTGGGAGAAGTACAAATAAGGGGGACAATAGCACCGGTATTGTTACCCTTATAGCACAAACCGAACTAACCTTACTGTACTAATCCTATTGAGGCTTGTCAACCTCGCCTATTAACAAGAATGTAAAAAATATGAACTTGAAAGGACCAAATATTCTATGATCATCACAGAGTTTATAACATACTCTGTGATGATATTACAGATGAGGATACTAATAAAGTGGTAGAATAAAATGTAGTACCCATTTGATTGTTATCCCTTTTTTTTCAACCTTGTAATAACCTGGTGCTTGTGCTTTGCGATCTCGAAGGGGAAAACTGGGGCTGGGGTGGGTTTCTTCATCGCAAACGCGATAGTTGGGTTGCGAATGCGCAATGTTGGGGGA